GCAAAAGTTACTCAAAATAAAACTACTCCAGTAAAGTACAGATACTTGAAAAATTTACTTAAGTACAGTAAAACTACTCCGTTACTGTCCACCACTGCAAATTACAAGCATAGATAAATATAATAGAACAAAGATACAAATGAAATAAACAGTGCTTTACATTTTTTCAGGGAGTCTTAACAGTATTCATGTACAGAAATTGAATAATCAAATGTAAAATAGCACTGCATAGTCTTCAATGTATAAATTAAATCTAATAAATCTGTTAAAGCTACAAAAGTTATTTTTCTCTGTGTTTTGTTGTTTGATTAACATTCATGACACAGAAAGCCTCATTAAACTGCTGTGAACCAAAATACTGTTACACATCCATTTCCTTTCTCAATTGTTTACCTTCAACTAAGCCATATGCAACTTACAAGGATACTTGCAGAGACATGCATTTTGATATAATTTCGCACAAATAGACGTGGAAGTGAACGGAATTCAGTGTTCACGTGCATCTGCGTGGCTCTCATCGTGTCTACACCGGACGAGAGCGGCGCGGCGCGACAAAATACTATGAACCCATTATAATCAGTGATGCTGTCTACAGATGCGGCGCAACACGACAAATCCCAGACAGTAAACTGATGCCTCGTTCTATTTACGACGTGCTGACACAAAGTTCAAATGATTTGCAACGGTTGCTTTGTCGCGTCCAGTGTAGCTGTTGGGGCGCGACAACAGCTGTCGCGTCCGGTGTAGACACGGTGTTTGTGTGTGAGCAAAAAACGATCAGTATAAATATAACGATCAGTATACTAAACATCGCACATCCTGCGATGTGACTATCACGGATGCGCACATCGCGATATCGATGCTGAAACGATATATCGTGCAGCCCTACTTAAAACTAACCATTTTAAAATCTCTAGTATTACTAATATTCTAATAAAAAAACTAAAACTAATAAAAAAATACTTTATTGATGATGATTCTAGTTTAAGGGCCAGATTTACCAAACAGGGCAAATTAGCGTTACAGCGCAATTCCATAAAAGCGCCAATGGGAGGGGAAAATTGTGTGTGTGATTTACTGAAATGTGCACATTAAAGAACACAGACGCAGCCAGATCATTTCCATAATGACCAGCACAATCTACAAAGAACAGCGCAAATTATTGCCTGCGTTGCGCAATTTATTTTAATACTCTCCTCCCATAAATTTTGCGTCTGAAAGGGAAACTCCTACAAATGCATAGTCATACTGTTATCGATACTTGCGTTGTTTTATCTCTGTATACTTCATTGTTACCGATTAATTAAAAGCTGCTGCTTGTCATTTCCCTTCACTGAATGATGTGGCCGACGTTTGCTCGACGTGCGTGATATCCATGCACATGTGCGGTGTGTGTTTGCGTGCAATCAGTCATCGCGGCAAGAGTGAAACGTTCTAAAGTGTGGGCTCACGTTACAAAACTAAGCGACACCAGTGTCAGATGCAATATATGCAGTAGTTTAATAGTGAACGAAGGAGGCAACACTAGTAATATAATGAAACATTTACTAACAAAACACAACATCTACCTCAAGTAATGCGCTGTATTATGTCTCGCGGATCCAGCTCCAACTGAAACTTGTGAGACACATTCACATCAAATGTTGATTCAGTAGAGTTACACTCACGAGACTTATTCGCAATCACAAAAGTACATAATTTCCGCGTGATTTAAAGCCTTGCCAGTTAAACATTTCATTTGCGTGCTGTTTTAACATGTGCTTATTCAGAGCGCGTACACCCGAAGTGTCCGTACACTAAAAGGCCGGTCAAACAGCACCTGATTACTTAGTTATCTTATTTATCGTCTGATTAAGCTAATACTGTCAAAGACACTCAAGGCTTACATATAAACACAGTTAATTATGTCTAAAGTGAAAGTAAACAGTTGAGAGAAAAACAGATGCAGCTCTTAAAGCGGCAGTACTACTAAACATGCTGCCGATTGTCATTGAAGGGATAGTTCACCCAAAAATTTAAATTCTGTCATTATTTACTCAGTCATGTTGTACCAAACATGTATTAATTTTTATTTATTCCTGTGCTGAACACAAAAGAAGATATTTTGAATAATGTGGGTAACCAAACATTTGCTGGTCCCCACTGACTTTAATAGTAGGAAACAAAAAATATGAAAGTCACTGGGGACCAGCAACTGTTTAGTTTCCCACATTCTTCAAAATAGCTTTTTATATGTTCAACAGAAGAAAGAAACTCATTAAAACAACTTGAGAGTGAGTAAATGATGACAATTTTCATTTTTGGGTGAACTATTCCTTTAATGTGAAAGGGGTCATATGATCTCTTTGGAGTGTTTCAAGCTCTTGGTGCATAAAGAAAATCTGTAAAGTAGAGGACACAACTAGAAATCAGTGGTTAAGTTTTCTGTTCCGGAACAGTTCAACCCAAATATTCAGATGTGTGCAGCGCATTTTATGGAGGACGAGGACTGTTTCCTGGGAGAGTAACGTTAGCCTACAATGCCGGTGTCTGTTTCTATAAAGTGGGGCAATTCTGTTGGTGCGAGTCATGTGTGTACGAACTAAGGAGCTTCCCCTGGAACTTACGCGATCGGCAACCGGACATTTTTTGTCTTATTGCAGCTCGTCTCTGTTCTGGACTTGCACAAGCTGCGTTGCAATGCAATCATTTTCCAAAATGTAATTTATGTGAAAATATGAAGTCTGTAAATGCCCGTTAACACAGGCAATTCTACTGTTCCTAATATTCTGTATGTTGCTCAAAAACAAAATATATTGTGTTCAGCGGAAAAAAGTTTTTTTTTTTTCTGTAACGACAGAAAATCCTGTAACGACAATACCGTGTTACCGTGAAATTTTTGCTCAAAATCTCATACCGGCCCATGCCTAGTGTAGAGTAACGCTTGTTGTTTGTCGTTTCTCTGATCACAAATGCAGACATGGTTTTATGTTTACGCAGCGCGATACGCAACGTGTAAAAAGACTGTATAAGTCATTATAATCAGTAATTATGTCCCCACTGGATGCAACAAATGCCTCATTTGTAATGGGT